ACGATACGGTCATCCATCATTCTGATAGTGATATACATAATTTAACAGCGCATTTAAATAGCGCATACACCTTGGAATTCTTTTGACAAGTAAATTATATTGAGATAGTACATCAACAATATGTTTTGAAAAACGACAAATTTCGATCTTTCGCCAAATTTCCGCTTGGATGTCCACTGCGAGGTGTATGATTGACTGGCTGACGCCAGTACTAACAAACTTAGAATGGAAGAGAAAAGCACGTTCTTTTAACTTAATGAAAAGTGTTAGAAAAAGCTAAAAACACACTTGCTCTTTTCATTACAAGTGCCATTATACAATTGCGTTCTTGTGCAATTCTTCGTTATTTGTTTTAATGTCATTCGAATCAGGTATATTACTTCATTCACATTTCTTTCTCTAATTGAACATGATCAACCAACGTTAGAAATTCTAAATGGTAAGTCATGGGCTGATCCATAGGACAATAATAACAGTATTATAATTCAAGAAGGCAATAAAGAAAATATGCCTTCCTCAACTAAATTACTGATTGTGTTAAGAAAAAACAGAATGAATTGGATAAATTGTTCATAATAATAAATTCAAGCATGTTAAGGCAAATGTTGTTCGGTTTGGCGAAGCTTCAGCTGTATCGGCGCATGCAAATCTCATTTCATCGATTCGCTCCCAGCCTATTTCAATAAGTGTAGGGTTTGTGGTGGTCAGTGTTATTGTTTTCGTATCTAATAGTTGTTTGCTACGATAGCCGGTGACCGACAGTGTAAAAGCTTCCCGATAGACTGAAATAGCTTCGAATGAATGGAGACAAAATGTATTTTGTGAATTAAGAACAGAAATTGATATAGGATCACCACCGCCATTGTATGCGACGCATTTCCTACCATTCGTGAAGGCGTTCGCATATCCGGTATTCGAATAACATTCCATTGCAAATACCTCGAACATGTAAAACACATTGTACCATTTAAAACCAGCATAGCCATCCGGTATCCTGTCGCCATGTCTTTTTGCATTGGGCATTCTAACAAAAGTGATCGTCGATACTCGCGATGGTTCTGGAATGAGAAACAAAATCGTTTATGAGAAGAATCACTTTGACATATCACTTAAACTATGAAAAGAGAAAACTAGGTAGGCCAGACGCATGGACCATGACGCGAAATGAAGTACTCAGCAGTGTCACTTTCGAGCTGTGACTCTTACCTAGAATTCGTTTCATCTCTAGTAGAGTTTTTCTGATAGTGGTGAGGTGATCATACTCGCAGCAAAAGCAAAACTGAAAATACTAAGACAGTCTATGTCTAATCTATCGAAGAATTTCACTCCGTTCGGTTAAACTTGGAGGAAGATCAATATTTGCTACAATAAAAAACTTGTAGCAAAGAGAAAAAGAATGCTCAGAATTGTTAAGATCTCATTTTGAGAAAAACACCCTTCTCTACAAACTGTGTGTTCAATTTTTTTTGTTTATATCGAAATAAAATAAAGTGGAAGTTAGAAATTTTTTCGGCGCCAATACTTCATAACTTTGCATCATGAAAAGTGAAGGACGTCTCATTTTATAGAAGAGAGTCTATTCTGTATCATGATTCTTGATGAGAGCATCTGTCGGACGCTAGGAGTCTGAGTATCCAGAAAAAATCAGAACATTTTTGTGATACATTTCAACATCTCCCTAAGATATGTGGTAAGCGTTCTGGAGGTTGTCTATGGATCAAAAGTCATGAAAATTCAGTGAAATGACTCTCGAAAGGTGCTTGTATTTCTACTATTATCAATTCCAAAGTCATATTCAGACTAGATAAAGTCAAAGAGGAATTTGAAAAATTTATTTCCTAGCGTTTTTTGGTGGTTTTCAAAAAATGTCAAAAAATAGGTATGACAAATATATTTGAAATAATGTGCTGATTATTTCGGATACTCTAATTCACATGATTTGGTGTAATCCCCAATGACCTTACCACTTCACATCCTCTGGCAAGCAGTCTGAGGATGGTTGTGGGCTTGTGAGACGATCTGGAATTTCTTGCAAGTTCGAGTACATAGTCTATGATGTTCGTGATTCTCCAGCTGGGATCAGACTGGGAAGGGGAAATCGAGAGCAAGTTGGTGAATGGATTGCTTTCCCACCCTTATTTCTTATTATTAACTCAGCTTGATCGGGGTGTTAACGCGAATGTAAAGCAAAGTTGATGGTTGAAGGTCGCCTGACGACATATTTGACCAACAAAACATGAAATATATTTTCTTCTCTGTTTGGCATACTCTCACAGTCTAATTGAAAATCTGATCGGAAGGATCTTTTTATTTTGGATCACTCCACAGAATTCAAAAGGCTTTTACAACACGTAGGATAACTTGGTCTGATATTCCAATATTTCTGACAAACATTCTCTCATGGACATGTGCCATTCACCAAAACGCATGTGTCACAGAGAACACCACAAGACCTCTACGACAGTATTACCGCTGCTGTTCAAACTATTTCCTAGCCGAAATACGTGCCAAAAATCTATACTTTCCTACGGGAACAGAGTCGCACAAACAATACTCCTCAAAACCAATTTTTCGTCCATTTCACCTTCCGTAGAACGCATTCTACCCAGTACTTTAGCCATATCGACGAACACACAGATTACATGTGTACTGAACAATAAAGAATGGCTACAAATAAAAATGGTAGTACTTGTTCATTTAGGCTGTAAAGAAATAATTCTATACGAACATAATATTACACATAATGGCGAAAAATTTTATCCTGATTATGATAAAAAACCTTACGTTTTAAAAACACGATCATATGACATTACAAAAGTCTCATATCGAATGAAGCAAATGAATATTCCAATGCCAAAATTATATCCAAATTTAGGAGCAATGGATCTTTTAGATTCTTTGGAAGAACAGTTAGGCTCTCAACAACAAAACATGCTGAACTGAAACATCGGCAAAGTACAACTAAAACCGGCACACAATTACCATCACGACTGTGTTTGGCATATTAACATTTGTCGGACTAGGAGCCTTTGCATACTTCGAAAAAAAACGCGTTCGTCATCCATTAAAATCGATACAACCTATAGTTCAATTAACAAATCTATCAACAGAAACAAGTTTACATCAGAACACCAATAAAACATGGCCAAATGATCCTCTTCTTGCACTATAATACTCAAAAATCTTCAATGATCAAAACAAACTGCAAATATTACAAATTCAATGATATTGACACAAATTTTCATTTTTCTGAAAATGTAGTTACTTTTCTTGTAAAGTCCATTATACAATAAAATTCTTGACACATGTCTTACGTTTGAGACCATATATGGATTTAGCTCGCCGAAATGTACATGAATCATTCGTTTTTGTCGATGACACACGCTTCAGAGAGAATATTTCTAGAATACAGTATGTATTACACTAGTCTGGACGGTATTTCTCTATTTCACATGCTTTACGGGGACTCTGATTTGACATCAGCCATACCGTTGGATAGTAGGCGTCGAGTTGGATATGAATCACGTTCACCAAAAAACGTTTTTGAGGAGTATTGTTTGTGCGACTCTGTCCCCGTAGGAAAGTATAGATTTTTGGCACGTATTTCGGCTAGGAAATAGTTTGAACAGCAGCGGTAATACTGTCGTAGAGGTCTTGTGGTGTTCTCTGTGACACATGCGTTTTGGTGAATGGCACATGTCCATGAGAGAATGTTTGTCAGAAATATTGGAATATCAGACCAAGTTATCCTACGTGTTGTAAAAGCCTTTTGAATTCTGTGGAGTGATCCAAAATAAAAAGATCCTTCCGATCAGATTTTCAATTAGACTGTGAGAGTATGCCAAACAGAGAAGGAAATATATTAGATTATCAAACCAAGTTATCGTATGTTTTTACAATGAATTTTATTTACCGTATGGTGATGCTGTTACTTTTGTTAACTGGGGTTTGAGGATTGTCGCTGCTACTGGACGTTCATAAATTGGACTTGACGACGAAAGTGAAAGAGACGGTTGGATCGTTGCTGCTGCTGTTGGTGGCTCGTAAGTTGGAGCTGATGGCGCCCCTAGAGAAGACAAAGTTCGAATAGTTATTTCTTATGTGTGCCTCACTGTTTACTAAGTCTATCTAAAAGTGCTCTCTAGCGCATCGAAGATATTATAGAACATTTTGGATTTCTGCCACGTATGAGAAGCCGAATAACGATGTGAAGGTGACGAAACTAGTGATATACAATAGATTTCATAAAGTGCCCGCAATTGAAAGAATGAGCACTATTTTTTTTCTCAATGATATATACATGCTTGTATAGAGCTTTTCGAGGTGGGAAAGAATATGTGTGTTTAGGCCTTTGGAATTGACTCTGAGAAGAGAAAATTTTAAAAAAAC